AGGCTGCCACTCGTCAATTTAATTACAACTATTGTGTAACAATTCAAGAAATTGTATTAATTTGATTAAATTCAATTCATTATGTATTGAAAGTGCATGTGTTAGTATGAACTCTGAAACTAATCATAGAAAGGAATTGACTTACATTTTGATATACGTGGAAATTAAAAATAACAAAATGTTATTTAACTCAAGAGTTACCATTGCTCTTTTGATAAATCTATTAAGAGAGATAAATGAGAAACAAACCTAGTTACTTTTTTTATCAAAGCGATCTTAGTGTTTAAATATTTCAGAGTAAATTTATATATGTATCCAATTCTGCAAACCACCGAAATCTTTTTTAGTCTTGAAATACAATCATGAAGAACTGGAATAGTCTATACTTTTGATATCTAACAGTGTAAAACAATCAATTTTTTAACTAATGAAACCATAGATCTCATTCGACCCAAACTTTGCCGTTAGAGAATTATTTAACACAGAAAAATGCGTCGACGTGAAAAAGACGTAAACCGTTATCCATCGATCATTTCTTAGATCTACGGACTAAACTGCAAGCGAAAATAAATTCCGTAGGCCGTCTCACGTCACCGCCGTCTTCCTTTTCGACTAACGAACAATAATCCCCCGCACTTTTCGGACCTGCAATAATTTATCCTCGCGCTTTTGCATCGCCGTTCGGTACTATCTGTATCAGTGATGTTCTCAGCTCACGTATATCTCGCGATCGCATGGAGATGTGTGTGTGTCACTGCGGTATGTGACCCGTGTTAAATTTGGAAGGTGCACTCAGGACGTCGCCGTTCTACCGACGAGTGGCACGCAAACCGATTGTTACGTCGTTGCACCTTTCGAATGTCACGCGAGAAACGACGACGAGACGGATAGGCGAAAAACTGTGGCACGCGACATTTTAATGGATATAGTATACTTAACCTGAGAAGGCTTTTAGAAAAATGATCGAATTTCAGATGAAAAAAGATAGTGGTATATGTGACTCCTATTAAATAATTTAGTTCGAGATGAAAAATGAATATTTATGAACTTTATCTACGTTACAATCAATTGTTATTCTGTTGATTCTATTTCTGTTGATTCTTTCCGTAATAACTATATCTATTATCTCGGTTAGGTATTCAGTTTGACAAATAAAGGAAATTCGAGTTTGTTAAAATTAATGGAGAACGAGCGACAGAGAGTAGAATCTAAAAGTGGTAGAGCACCTGAAGTTGCTAGTGTTACTAAAGATAGGATAAGAGAATCGTTACACTTCGCGAACGCATCGTGTGTTATCCGACGCCATCTCGACGGAATATATATGATGTAATGTTCCCTTCATGTGACACGCTTCGAAATTCCATCGTGAACTTTGAAGGTTCTACGCGGCGCGCGTTTGTGTATGTATGCACAACGTAGATACTTTGAGAGTGGCGAACCCGAAATGTTGGAGCGGAAATGTGATTTACGAGACGGAAGCGATTTATTGCCTTTCGTTGTGAGGTTGCATAATATCGTGTCAGCCAATTGGAAGATAGAAGTTACTTATTCTTGGTTTCGGTATACATAGTATATGTATTTCGGTTCTCCTGCGCGAAACATGGATTATTTTCCCTTAAGAAAACCCGAGGACACGGAACGGAAGACTATGTCGAATGAAACTGTAAGAGGTTCTCGATTATGTGCCTCAGGATAAGTATATATGTGTATCTATCGTGATGGTTTTTAATGATTTCTACCTTGCACGGAAAGAATGATTTTGCTGAGTACCTAAAAATAATTTAGCTAGATACAGATCTGAAAATAATTTTATTGAACAATTAAAATAATTATGTACACTGTTAAATTCATAATGTCAAGTTCTACTCAATCCGAATCACTTTTAATCGTTTCTATAGATCGCTATTTTTCCCTCCTAATGTATCGTTCATTTGACTGAAATAATGGAGTTAAACAATTTAACTCAAGAAAATGTATTAAATTTCGCTCAAACTTAATTTATTATTTACCAAATCCGTACGTTAATGTGAATGATGTTTACTTTGAAATTAACTACAAACATGAATTTATTTACATTTTAACACATATGGAGGTTAAAAATAAAGAAATGTTATTTAAGTCAATGGATTGAATTATCATTACTCCTTTGACATCTATACTGTTAAATCTAGAGTATCAAATTTAATTTAATTTAAGTCTTTACTACTCCTACAACTTATTCAGTATATCGTTATATTTTATATTAAATTATATTAAGTAGAAGTAGCAACTTAAATTTGACACTAGATTTAACGGTAGATATCAAACAAGGAATAATGATAATTGAGTTAAATAACATTTTGTTATTTTTAACCTCCATATGTGTTAAAATGTAAATCAATCCATTTATAGTTACACTATAGATTTAACAGTGTAACAGTAGGAAATGCGAGTATGAGAAATGCTACAAAAAATTTTGACATTATAGCAATCAACTTAAACATCCTATATACCATACTTTGACAGTCCAATAAAATTATTTTCTGAATTATTTAGCTAAATTTTTTTAGGATTTAGCTGAATTATTCAACTGCATTTAGCTGAATTTTTTAATACTTCAGAAAAACCATTCTTTCCATGTGCGCTTGAAAAGGAAAATGGAACAATAGATATTTGTGCGTAACCGATAGAGCAATGCTAAAAAATTAATATAGTGCGTGACTAACACACGTGGTTTTTTTTGTAAATGTAATGCACGCAATAATGACAAAATATATAACGAGAAATTAACGAGTAATCGCGTTCCATTATTTAAACTATGGATTATATTAATCGCTGAAGAAGTACAATTTCATATTTCCGAGGAATGAAACCCTTTTCCGCTCAGTTGTGAAATGCCATTATATAAATTCGCCCTCGATCTACTTTTATGACTTTAATAACATCTTCCGTGATCTTAGAACGTCACTACGTCTACACGATTTCGCTGGATCCATTCTGGTTGCGATTCGCGTGAGAATCGACCCAACGACGCATCGATTCGCGATTAGTTTTCGAGAGGTGCGCGTCGGCCCTCCGGGATTTTCACCGCGGTACAGGTGGTGTCGTAATTTATAAAGTTTACGAACGTCTTGCTAACCGAATTGAATTCTGTTGTCACGTGTTCTATCCGATATTCGCAGCTATCCGGCCTTCATCGCAAACCTCCATTTATCGTGAACGAGGCACTTTGCAAAGACGGGAAAAGATTTTGCAAATCCAATCTCGATACGCCGAAGGTTCTCCTTTCCTCTCTTCCTACTTTCCTTTCTCTCTCTATCGCATTTGTTTTTTTTTCTCTTTGCTGAGGTTTCCTTATTGTTCGCGTAGAGAGAATGCACGTGCATAGGACACGTAGTGGGTGCGACCGTAGTTTTGCGGAGTGGAAATGCATTAGGTAGATGGAACTCGTAATTGGAGCCGCCGCATGCACGTGCATCCACCTGCCATATTTATTTCTTTTTTTTTTTTTTTTTCGTTTTTTTCCCTCCCGCCTTCGTTCTGATTCTTCATCTCACTTCGCGGAACGCCCTTCATACGTTTACCTTAACGTTAGATAAAAGCGCAGCTTTATACATATTTTCGCAATGCTGTTCTCGACCTTGTTGGTTCCTCGCGCGAGTATTTTTGCACGCGTACATGTATGCGTAGAAACGCAATCGGCACGACGGCACGATTTTTCCGCCTTTTGCGGTCGGACGATGCATGCAATCAATTCGCACGTGAATAGAATCGCGAAAAAGCGTAACATGCGTGCGGGCGTGGTGTTGACTGCCGATTGCCAACAATGAATCGCGATAAACTGATCGCTTGCGATTAGATCAATCGGCGATCGGTCACTGTTTCTCCTCGATTATATTAGTAATTATCTACAATGTCGAACTTGATTACCGGTTAACAATCTGAAGCGGTCGATAGTATTTCCACGGGTATATTATCTAAAGACATTGAGTGTATTTAGTATCATTCATTGAATGCTTAGTAAGCAAGAAAGGAATTAATTTGTTTATTTATTATAATATTCGTAATATAGAATAATTTTTGTCTATTATAAATAATCTCTAGTATTATATTTCTTACTTACTTATTATTTCTCTAAGACTGTGAAAATATGAGTGAAATGTGAGCGTTTTATATCGCTCATATGGTTTTAGAGAAATAACAAACAATAACAAAAGAAATATAATATTAAAGATTATCTATAATAGATAAGTTATTCTGTTATAAATTGATATTATGATAATATATTATAATAAATATAATAATATTATGATAAACATATTAATTCGTTTCTTGCTCACTGAGTGCTTAATAAGCGATTTAACAATGTAATGTTATTAAAGAGAGGGAAATTAGCCGTTTTCACGCTCCTTCTCTTTAATTTTTATTTACCACACACAGAGAAATGTTTGGTATGTATATTTACGTTGTTGATATGTGACTAACAAAAACTTTCTTATTTCTTTTCATTAAAAAATTGTGTTGTTCTAATCAAAATTTGATTAGAATAATCAAATTAGAATAATCAAATTTTGATTAAAATAATACAATTTTTGTTATTCTAACCATATTTGGTGTTCTAATTAAAATTTGATTGCAATAATCAAATTTTAATTAGAACAACACAATTTTTTAATGAAAAAGTAAGAAAATTTTTGTTACATATCAACAAAATAAATGATTATACATAAATATTTCTCTCAATGCATTAGATATATTAGATATATGGACTATTTAGATACGGATGTGGTCCATGCTTTGATACTGTCTACTCGTGCGAGAACTACTCGACATTTCGATACCGTCTATCGCGTGTACGTACGAATGTGTGTACGTGTATGTGCGTGTGCGTGTGTATGTGTGTGCGTGCGTGTGTATGTTACGTGTACGTCTACAAACGTGCACTACGTACGCGTGTGCGAGATGTGTAAGCGCAAACGGAACAAAGCCACGTTAAGCTGGTTGCGATTGGTGTGTTGCAGACACGAGGTGCCTGTCACCTCGGAGCCGATCACGGTGATACACATGGACGAGGACGTCGTCGTGGTCAACAAGCCCGCCTCCATCCCTGTAAGTGGTGTACTGCCAGAACTGTACTGCCAAAAAATTGTTTGTCGTATTGTCCAAGCCACGAAAACATCACATACACATATATACACACACACGTACTCTTTTGCATGTTTCCTCGACATTTTCCACGCAAACCAAATCGCTTAACACTCGAAGTCCACTCGCGCGTTTCAGCCTATCTGAAAAATTCCATAAGCTGTCTTTACAATTATAATGTATACAACCGCAGATTTTTACTGAAAATTATTCCTAGAGCATGTTTTCGCAGGGTTAAAGGTCCCATCGCTGTTAAAATTTAGAATTTCCAGACTCTATTCTCTTTTACTCTCACTAATGAAATTTTCCATCGCTTTGTCTAAGTATATATATTTGAGTGTACCCCATAAATTAAATTCTAGCGTGTCTCAACCGGGCCGCGCAAACTTCCGCTCCTTCAATGTCGACCTTCTGATTTCGTTAGCATTCTTTTATTTCCTTTTCTCTCTCTCTCTCTCTCTCTCTCTCTCTCTCTCTCTCTCGACGCATGGAAGGCGACTAAATCGCCGCTAACGAGTCGTTTTTCAGACGGTGATTAACAAAACAACGCGGTTTACAGATGTTATGCGTCAAATGTCAAGGGCCTCTGACGAGCTTTGCCTTTTTAAAATGCAACGTTTCGACATCAAGCGACCTCGGTCTCTCCTGGTATACTTCGGGATATGACGCAGTTATGACTAAAAAAGAAAGAAAAGCATATAGAAAAAAGGGAATTTAGAATTTACGCGCACACGCAGGCAACTCGCATAAATGTCCCGCGGTCGCGAATGCATTACGGCCGCAACCGCGCGAATAAAACTCACTATTAAAATGTTAATCATGCGCATTACGGCGCTCGCAAATCACGAATAATTTACTCCGCGCGCTATTATTGCCGCTCCACGATAATGTCGGACTTTGCGGACTCCGCTGTAAAAATACATAGGTAAAGGACAGGAGCCGTTTCTCGGCGTGTATAAAATGCGATACCGCGAGTCCGATGCATTAAACCGGTGATATCGGTGATTCATTGGTGTAAATTAATGGTTACGGTGGTTTCCTCGGAAACGAATTTAACACCCTTTCATTTTTCCACTTTGTAGCAATTTTCGTCTCAGTTATTTTCAATTCGCAACGATAATAAACCGCGCGACGACGTATACACCTGCCGAGAAAATAAAGCGTCCCAAAGTTTCCAAAAAGAAGATGGCTCCGCGAGACCAGCTTATGAGACTTTAACGTACTCTTTTTCTTTCTCTATATATATCTTTTTACCCTCTGTTCTCTTTTCTCGTTTTCGTTGTCGGGACCGTTAGTTGTGCGCCACCGCAGTGGTTGCAAGTTTTATTCTCCTACGACGGGCTGCGAGGCTTTGCTCGGTGATAAATACGGTCTCGGAGAACTAAGCTCGGCCACTTTTCCTCTCAAATGTCACCGAATTCATCGGTGGCTGCGTCCTCAGAGAGGGATCGTTAACAAGAGCTTGCGCAACAAAACAGCCGGGCATTAATGCAAAAATAATCCGACGCGCAAGTAGGTACTCGGCAAAGCACGAGCGCGATGCACGACTTAATGGTTCGCTTTCGCATCCATCCCTGGTTTCTCGAGTAGTTTTTTCCATTTTTGCCCTGCCGCGAACTGTGAAGAGATCTCGGCCGTCCAACAATTGAATTAATTTTCGCGTGCAGACATCGTTAAAACCGTTATGCAATTGTGGCGCACCATGACTTTATCGTGTCGCTTTCGCTTCCTTGTTTCTCTCTCTCTCTCTCTCTCTCTCTCTCTCTCTCTCCACGTGAATCGTCGCTATTGCGACAATAGTAAAATTATTCAACTTTTTCGTATCGCGTAGATCATTTAGATTATTTTAACAGTAACGCATAATGTTCTAATTTAATTTGTAAAATTTTAATTACATTAATATATTTATGTTAGTATAATGTATTCAGATTAATATATTTAATATATTTAATATATTTAATATATTTATATTAATAATATAATATTATAATAATAATTTACTAATATATTTACATTAATGTAATATTATATTTATTAGAAAACCATGCATTATTAGTTACCAAAGGAGCAATGGTAACTCAATTCTTCGAGTTAACATGATATTTTGTTATTTTTAACTTCCATGGAAGTTGTAACATGTATGTCAAAATCAATCCATTTCTGTGGCTTCAACATAAACAGCGTTCATATATGAATGCATTTAGTAAATAATAAACTAAATTTCAGTTAAAACTGGTTAAAGCGACTCACTAATTATATAGAAAATTGGGTCTCGGTAAAATGAATTAGTTTTCACATATAATGTAGGCTTATAATGTGATGAATAAAAGATATTATGACGGGAAGAACAATAATAGATTAATAATGGATGGTTTTTATGTTATGATGTATCAAATGTGTAAACTTGTGTTCACAAAGTGGCTTTGATATATCTTAAAAATTATCCATTATTAAATTTTGTATCTATAACATCTTTTGTTCGCTACATTAAGTCACTGGGGAATTTTCCACACTGAGAAAAAAATTGTTCAATTTGACGAAATTAATTTTATCAAATAAAATAAATATTTTTTCTGAATGCACATAATTAGTGCAATTTAATATATTTGTTTGAGTTAAATTGTTTAATTCCGCTATTTTAATTTTAAATTAACGACATATAAAATAGGAGCAGTAGCGAAAATAAGTATAATTTGATATTATGAATTTAACAGTGCAATGACGGGGAAAATAGATTCTCAGTTAATACATTTTTAGATTTTACGTAACAAAGTTTCACGCCGGGGAAACTCGTCGTGCGAACGACAAAATTGTAAAAAATTCGGAATTCGTTCGCTTGCTCGAAATTCTTGAAATTCATTTTATGGCAGAGAGAGAGGAATACATGGAAGGTGTGAAATCCTAGCGGTGGCGAATAGAAAAGTGCCTTCGATCGCCGGATTATTGTAGCGGTTCGCCGAGTCGCTGGGGGCGTTTGATAGCCGACGTACATTATTGTGCATATACGTGCACTGTGGTACTGATAGACGCGCGGACTTATCGAGCCAGGAAGAGTCCGATACGATCCGCCAGCTAGTCAGCTAGCCGGTCGTTGTACCTACAAATCCGCATTGTCGGCCGGAATGCATAAAGCTCGTCGTCGTTCCTGTGCCATACTGTCATACCGATTCAAAACGATGAATCGACCTTCCTTTGTAGACGTGAGTGCTTTTTGTCCCGAATTTGCCAGGAGAAATGGGTCGATCGCTCTTGCGTGAATGCGTACATGTATGAGAGCGTCTGTGTTGTGTGTATGTGTGTATGGATGTGTATCTGGTCTACATCGAATTTACATTGGCCACATGCCGATAGGCACTGAGTACATTCATTAAGTAGTGTAAGCTCCATAAATTTACCGCTCACATCTCATTTCCTGAAGATATTCTGGTTGCTTTATGAAAAGTTTAAAGTGAAATACAGGAGTAATTCTAGGTGCCTCGCGAACTCATACTGAAATTATGGTTAAATTGCAATACAATTGCAATTACACTAAATTACAGTTATTATTACCGTGAAAATGATAATCACTACATTTTTATGATAATAATGACTATAATTGCAATTACACTATAATTTATTATTACATTATAATTTCAGTGTAAGTTTGCAAGATTACATCTAGGATTACTTACGTACTTCATAAACTTTTCTCTACATTTTTGATAGAACTACACATAATTATTATTATTAACATAGCAATAATAACCATAATTGATAACATGTAATTATACTCGCAATACAAATAATATAGTTACAAATATAAAAACTTTTCTCTCAGAGTAGGACGAAATTACATAGATTGTTTTGATTTTTCCTTTTCTAGTATTTAGACAATTTTTGGATTCTTAGATTAGTACTTCAAGCGGAGCGCGAAGCGAAAATAAAATCATTTGATCGTGTCTATGTTTCGCAGGTTCATCCATGCGGTCGTTATCGACACAACACCGTAGTTTTCATTCTGGCGAAGGAGTACAATTTGAAGAATCTCAGAACTATTCACAGGCTGGATCGGTTGACCAGCGGCATTCTCCTATTCGGCAGAACACCGAAAAAGGCAAGACAGATGGAGCACCAAATAAGAAATCGACAGGTTGGTTGCATAAGCGTACGTCTCGCGGGTATGCGAGAAAAAAACATATAGACGTGCAGCTGGCGTCGCTCGTCTGTCGTTAAATGACGGAGACGCTTACATTGGCGTACGAATACGACGATCGTAATCGTTTCATACGTTATATATATCGTATCACATTCCAGGTCCACAAACAGTACGTGTGCCGAGTGGAGGGTGAGTTCCCCGAGGAGGAGGTGATTTGTTCGGAGCCAATCGAAGTCGTTTCCTACAAGATCGGCGTCTGCAAGGTCTCCGAGAAAGGCAAAGATTGCGTCACCCGCTTCAAGCGTCTCAGCTACAATGGCAAATCATCGGTGGTGCTGTGCAAGCCACAGACTGGACGCATGCATCAGATCCGCGTCCACCTGCAATACCTCGGTTATCCCGTGGTGAACGATCCTCTCTACAATCACGTGGTCTTCGGCCCGCACAAGGGAAAGGGCGGTAATATTGGCAAGACCGACGAGGAGCTCGTCCGGGATCTCATCAGCATTCATAATGCCGAAAATTGGCTCGGTATGGACGGCGATTCTGATATGAGTCTGTTCAAGCCGAAACTGGAATTGGAAGAACGCATGCTGGGCTCCGGCAATGACAAGGACAACGGTTCCTCGCCGTCATCCACCCCGGGGTTGGTCGAGGACGAACAGCAGCAACAGCCGCAGCAACAGCAACAGCAGCCACAACAGGAATCCCTCAAGGTCACCGTGGGAACGCAGACAGGCTCGGAACCGCCAGATTCCACTTTCGCCAACGACAAGGTCACCGTTGACCCGCACTGTTACGAGTGCAAAGTCAAGTATAGGGACCCGAAGCCGTCAGATCTGGTGATGTATCTGCACGCGTGGCGTTACTGCGGCCCGGGATGGGAGTACGAAACGCCGCTACCCGCGTGGGCAGCGAGCGATTGGACCGGCGACGATCGATAGTTCAGACAACGTGATCGAAGACGATCCGCGCGGATTCCTTGGCGAGTAGTCGTCGTCGTTGTCGTTGCCGTCATCGAGTCTCAATCCCCTTTTTTGATATCCTTACCCCGTGCCTTCCATCCGCCAATGAGCGATTTTGACCATCGTACGCAAACAAGTACATGTAGACGAATACGCATACATGCAGACATATACACACAGTAGACAAACAGACGTGCCATCCCCCTACAACTTGGTCGTCGGACTTTCCGGGATGCTGCAGTCCGAGAGAAATGGAGATTGCTGGAACAATCTCACGTCGCTCGATATGTACATTTCTGCAAACTCGTCGTCGATGCGTTGTCGTAAGCGACAACTTGGCGTTATCATGAAGCGATTCCGACGGATCATCGTTTACGCGCAGAAATTCACGCTCGTTTTCTCGCGACAAGTTTACCCGTCGCGTGCGTTCTCGTTATATATTTCTGGCAAAGTCTCACACAAATCCCTCATGCGGATTTTATGCGGGGAACGATTCGAGACGCCACGCTATTATGCGGATTAATCATAGCGACAAAAGACAACCGTTGTTACCGATCCTATTACCGCAAAGCTGTCCCGATTTCGGGAGCCAGTTAATAAATCAGATTATCATTATTATTATTTTTGTCTCGCCGCAGCAATTTTCTGGGTTTCTCAATCATGTTTCCTCCGAGCAAACCTGGAGCGCCTTGTACAATTACGCAGTAAAATTACGCCGAGATGTCGTAATAAGGTGCAATGTGATTGTTCCTACGATCGTTTCTCTCCGCGTAACAGCCGTAAGAATGTTCTTGCATAGTCGGTTGATCGATGTGGATCTTATAAGTCGCAGGACTTCGTTGTAACTTCCGAATCAACGATGAATATTGATTTTTTTGCTATCGGAAAGATATATTGTGACAAACAAAAACGATTTGTGATTGTATTACCGCGATATTTCTCGATCAAAATATTTGTCGTCAAATGTTTAAAAACATTGTCATCAAAATGTTTAAAAACAATAAAGATGCAGCCGCACATCGAAGCGACAAAGATGAAAGATAATTCTATTTTCATTTTATATTGTGATATGGAAAGATACGATTAATTGAATAATTTCGTTCAATTGTAATTTAATAAAACAAATGATATTTTACGCGCAGAAATTGTATACAAAAATCATTTGCGCGAACGCTCTAGCAGACTGAGACAAATGTATGTTGTGGAAAATGCGATGGTCTTGGCTGCTTTCATGAGCAGCAACGGTCAAAAAGTCACTGCCACTGGAGCGAGGTACCCCTAACATGTTAGAAAAGATTGATGCATCTGTCAGAGGTGGCATGGTATTCCGATGGATCGTATCATTCATCTTGATTTATGACGTACACAGAAACGTGGAAAGCCACGTGTCTCTCGTCTATTTTCTATGATCGCGAGAAGTCGTTCGGCTCGCGCACGACTGTTACTCTCCAATCTTACGGAACATTTTGATTCACGAGAGATACCGCTTGATCCATTTCTCAAAATTCCAGAACTTTGCAGAAGCAATGTCTTATCATCTAAGAATAAACGACGGCGTGCGAAGTAGCGGTAGTATGTGACGTTTCGCACTCGATCAGCGTTCTCGGGAGACGTTCTCGGTAAATCACCGTCGTGACTTCGAATTTGACTTCGAACGGACGGAAGTGAACAGGCGATATCGATTATATTCGGTAGCAGTGTTGCTTTTGGCATCAAATCCACCTCAGTACTTTGGCTTGACAGAAGTCAGCTATAACTGGGAGATAAATTTATCCTCGACGGCTCCGGCTTTGGAACAATTTCAACGAAGCCCTGCGATTTCTGTATTATCGTATAATGGTTATGTATCGCTAATATACTTATTGTGGAAAGAGAAAAATATTTATACATCGGTATTAATGCTAATAGCAAACTCTCCGATGTGGTATCTTTGTTCAGGGCCGACGACCAAATTCACGTGTGTGAATACTCTACACATGTGAATTTGGCACGTATTGAATTTCCACACATGTCGAGCTACATGTAACATAAATTTGGAACGAGTAATTTATTGGATTTTTATTGGTGATATTTTAATAAACAATGCTCCATTGACTCATGGCGGAATCTTCCTTCCTTTGGGCGACCAATCAAATATGGCAAAAGGCTACATTTGATGTGGGAATAGATATGTGTGTGTGTATATATATAAATTTATTATTACAATATTTAAATTTAGCTCTAATCAGATTCTCTCGCCCGTTGACTATTCACACATGTGAAAAATTTACTTCGCCGGCCCTGTCTCTATTATGTTCGTTTCTATTATTGTAGTTCAATTTTAATTTTGATTCAACTCTCTCTTCAACTTTTTCTAGTTTTAAGAATTAGAAAAAAAAATGAAGAATAAGTTGCACCGAGATTAAAGTTAATCTGCATTGGTAGAAACGGGAAATTACTCGTCAGTCTCCTAACGCGCCAAGTTCGCCAAGTTCGCCAAGTTCTCCGTAGGATATCGAGTGCGATTCTCGAAACTGTGGACACCACGTATGGTAATCGGCATTATTTCCTACGACGATGAGACCACGTTCTTATTGAAGTGGTCCGATTTCCATTGACACGTACGCGAAACGCTTTCGCACGGTTTCGAGAATAGACTCCTTGAATTCAGAACGGGGAGAAAGAGGAGGAATAGAAAGAGTTAGAATCGTATCCTCCAAAGTGGCATAGGTAGGGGGCTGACGTACGGAAACTGCGATAGAGGTGCGTCTATTTTTATGGCAGATATTTAAGGTGGGGAACCCATGCGCGGTGGCGTGAGTCCAGCGGTAGGTTTCTCCAACAATAAGCGTGATCTTGCCGGAAGACAGCCAATGATCATGCCAAAGAGCGTGCGACCAGCGAGCTTTCAATCATATCGTGCATAACGTACCTTTTCTCGAGGTCGACGGGATATCTCGAGATGAGTGTGACCCTACCGCGCGGTCGGGTCGAAGGGGAGAACACACACAGAAAAATATCACTCTGTTGTTAAGAAAGTGATTATACACGCAATTTTCTTCTTTTGAAGCAACGGTTATATCTTTAACAAAGAATACTTTCTTGATAATAATCTTAAAGTATATTTATAAATTCAGAAAAACTCATTATCATGTACTTGAAACAAAAATTTATCTTCTTTTGAAGAATATTATAAAATTGATCAAAGAAGTGATCTCTTTGTACAATAAGCAAATCGAATTTGTTTTAATTTAATAATCTTGATTAATATTAAACTTAATAGAACTCAGAATATATTTTGAATAAATTTGATGCTTGTGATGAACTATGATAGATTTACGGATATATGAATATTTGAAATACTTGAAATACTTGAAATACAAATAATTATTACTAGCTTGTACAGTAAGTATTTTTCTGTGTGCAAGGTGTTTCGCAACAAGTACAATCCGAGGAGCGAGAGTGAAAAATGCGAGAGCAAAACGTGCTACAATTTTATTTTATTACGAGTCGTCGCGTTCTCTCGTCTCCGTGCGTCTTCGAGAGGCTGCGAAAGGCACGCGAAGCGTGTGAGTTTTCAACTTCCATCGCTTCCAAGTTGCAGGCTGCCCCTGTCCGCCGTTATTCCATTCGTTATCGCAGAAATTAGTTTCCATTTACATCAAAACTCAGATAATTTCATTTGTAATGTCATAACTTAGTTGACTGCGCGTTCCTTTTCGTTCTAACAAGTGATGTTCAACTGAATTTTTTACCTAGAATCTACACAAGCTCGAGATACTTTACTGATATCCATTTCTACCAACGTAGATCAACTTTAATCTCGACTTATTCTTCATCCTTTTTTGAATTCCAAGAATTAAAAAAAGATGAAGAGTTAATTAAACCAAGATTAAAATTATACTGCAGGTAGAAACGGACATGTGAGTCTTGTTAATTCACATTAAAAGTAAAATTATAAACTTGTATTGTTAACTTTGAGATAACTTTGTCACCCCAGAATGATCAAGTAGTAATTATCTGAATAAAAAATATTCACATGACTTTCGACTTAGTGTCACTCACGTAAAAATGGATGGCAACTATCATTGTTGTTGCTGCTATTTCGTGAAGTTTTTATTTCCAAACGATTTCGTGCTGCCCACGCGCTTGTTCTGCGATATCGAAGAAGTCCTCATACACGCATACGGAGCCTGTTTTGCGTCATTCGGCGCGATAACACGCGGCACAAATGTGTACACAAGAGCGGCGGACAGCGACGGCCGAGTAACAAAAACACGCTTCGCGTGACGCGGGCTGCAAAGCCTGTATTTTAGCATTGAGAGACCGTTAAGTCGTCGTGAGCAGTGATGGGAAGTGATCCAGAAACGATTGGGCGAAGTTACAGACGCGGCGGATGCATCAGATTACTATGCCTTCCGATGAAATTAGCGACTTTTTGACTCTTAACGTCATAATCCAACATACATGTCTTTTTCTAACGGGGCCAATTCACGTGCGACCGTGTCTGGATGTTTGCCGAGGGGATGATTTCCGACGACACAAGTGCTACGACCTACGATTATTATGCTACGATATGCCGTAGTATCAACGATATTTTAATTAAATTAAGTTCGTACTGCCGCGACGTATACGCTGTTAATTTACATTTAGTACGGTCGGAAATTGTGTGTTTGCTAAGTATATCTTTAGAATAGCTTCCCATTTTAGTTTAGAAACGAGAGCGTGAGAGCCTTAGGAACGACTGCTTTTAGAGTTGGCGAGCTATTAACTTGATAGATCCTTTTTAAAAAACCTGGACATTCGATGGGATCAAGATACGATTACTGAAAGAATTAGGCTTTTTCAAAGTACTTAAGGCTTAACGCTGAATACTATATAATACTATGCGATATGTTAGTGCCTAAAAATGTTCGAGAAAAATGTGCGTCGTTAGTATGGTGCCTAGATATTTTTTCAATCTGGAGCGAGCACTTGGGATGAATCGATCCTGCCATCACTGCCCGCGAGAAAAGAATAAAGGAAAAGCGAGAATAAAGAGGAATGTAATATTGGATGCGCAACGGAATGAAATATGGATTTGAAATATAGATAATATAATATAAATATATGTACACAGAAGATGAAAATAAGAGAATGGAGGTAACACAACGGACCTATTATAAAAGACAGTGTGTGCGCTTACTAACACAACCGGGACAGCTTGCCTCTTACGGCGAACTATCCCGAGAATGTAACGACTAGCTTAAATCTATTATTTAAGTAACTAACGATAATTCGAGAAACCGCGAAAAAGACAGTTCCGACTTTAGTGGCGCTAAGAGAGAGAAGGGAACGAGAGAGCGGGAGAGAACGAAAGAGAGTGCGAGAGAACGAGAGACAGGGAGAGCAGACGCAACCGGTCTGCGGAACGAGCGAACGTGCTTTTGTATATATGTATTGTATACGCACATTGTACCGTATATCTAAAGTCACATTATTATCCGTACTGTAGCCGGCGGAACATTTAGTGCTAGCGAATTCTCTTGTATGATGAACGAATAAATGCAAAGTATCGTTCGATAAAACTGCGGCGAATGTTCTCGTCTTCGGATGTACCCAGTCTTATGTTTCACTTTGAGCTCGCAAGTAGCACGGCGTTATTTGAATCGTATGCATGATTCATGAACGAGAGGTTCGACATTCGTTTCATTCCGAACGCCGTGACGTTCGGCAAAAATATTCCATTCAATAACCGTATCATTTATTTCGCGTAATACATCGTTGATGTCGTTACCGTTACTATAATTCACGAGCTCTTCGAGAGCCCGCAATGTGAGATGTAACGTAATTTCTACGAAAACCGCGTAACTGAGAGCGTACTATTTGCATAAGAAAACGTGAGAGGTAAATGTTAGTCTTACATGGCTCTAAGCAAACTCGGTCAATATTCGAGGACATAAATCGAATTTTCTTATATTTTTTCGCGTACACGATCCTTTCTCTCCGATGTCGTTTACTTTGCTGAAAATCTCACAATGGCTTGTTGCATATTTTCATGTGGCCGTCTCTTCCAGAGTGTTATTTTTGAAAAGATAAGATGGGATCGCTTGCGATCCACGTATATACACACATGTAAAACTTATAAATTCTTTAATATAATAGAAGCTTACCATATTAAATCAATTTTAATTTTATCGATTTTTTTTCCACATATAATTTTATTCCACATATAATTATGCCTTCTAATTTCCAGCAGTGAATGGCCGTCACTAGACGAACTTTCGCTTCAAAGTACTTTGCCTCGCTAGTTTTACTTTTCTTCAGAAATGTTAAACATTACGAGAATTTCGATTTAATTTCATTTAACGCGCGATCTTTTTAAGGAACACTTAAAATCTGCACGTTAATAATAAAGTTTTTCTCTTACATTTCCTTTATTATTCGAACTTCCAGGATGGATGTCAACCCAAGTTCGAAGAAACATTATTACAGAGGAATTGTGACTATCACGTTATATTCATTTATATACACTGAAAATAAATATAAAATTTTCAGGGATTGTTCTATATATCTCGTCCCGTTATATTCTTTCTAACCAGTTTTAACTTTTCGATGTCGCTCTTTTCTGTTCGTTCATACGCGCTTCGATTTCCGGCCTAAAATGCCTGATCAGACCCTGTACAGGCCACGCAGCGCCGTCCGCTAAAGCGCATATCGTGTGCAGTTCTATTTGTTTCGTAAGCTCCCACAGCATGTCTATCTCGTGTACCTCAGCGTTACCTTCTACAAATCTGCGAAAAAAATTAGTATGAAACCAAATAATAATATAGAAACATTTCATGAACATTGCAATTTATCAAACATTGGCATTCCAAGAATGAATATATACACGAAGATAATCCATGAAATACATAGCTTCTATGTAAAAAATATCCATGAAAGTCTCAAAAGTATCACCGGATAATAATTTTTTACACATACAAGATAAATTAATTCTTACCTTTTTAGTATTTTATACATCCAACTGATACCCTCGCGACAAGGCGTGCACTGACCGCAGGATTCGTGTTTGTAGAAACTTATCAAACGAGTGATGGCCTTGATTATGTCCGTCTGTTTATTCATCACGATTACTGCGGCTGTGCCGAACGAGCTCTGTACTCTGATGAGATCATCAAAGTCCAGCAAAACGGTGTCACATACGCTAAAATTTTTGACCATGACTTTTGGAACGAAATCGAATTGTTGAACGACAATCTCTTTATTTACCTTTTAGGAATGACGGGAGTTGAAGAACCACCAGGAATAACACCTAACAAATTATCCCATCCTCCAATTACACCTCCCGCGTGCCTCTCGATCAGTTCTTTTAGAGGAATGGACATTTCTTCTTCGACGGTACATGGATTGTTCACATGGCCAGAGATGTTATAGAGCTTGGTTCCATGATTGCGTGGACGTCCAAATGAGGCAAACCACGCTCCACCTCGGCGACAGATCGTCTGTATAAATATTTTCAATAAGAAATAAATACAAAAAATGGTCTTATATTAAATTAACAAATATAAAGACTAAAATAAACGAATAAAAAATGTTAAATTAATCAATTAGAAGCTTATTTTAGACATGTGAGAATACAATCGATAAACTAGAAGCTTACATCAGTCGAAGCTGAATCTTTAATGCTTTTTAAATAATTTCTATGCGAATTTATATAAATTAATAAAATGTACACATATTTAATAAAATTAATTAAATATACATTTTATTAATTTTACATTTTTTATTTGTTTCTATATTTTGATCTTTTTAATCTTATAAAATAAAATATAGAAGAAAAAATATATCAGCAACACCTACAGGCGCCACTGCTACGGTTTCAACGTTGGTGACGGTTGTGGGACATCCGAACACACCGACGTCAGCTGGGAATGGCGGTTTTAGTCTCGGTTTTCCCTGTTTCCCCTCAATAGATTCTATAAGAGCGGTCTCCTCACCGCATATATATGCACCCGCTCCTCGTTGCACGAAAATGTCGAAATCATAGCCGGAGTTGCAGGCATTCTTTCCGATTAAACCGGCCTGATAAGCCTCTGCTATAGCAACTTGCATGTTGGACGCCTCATTGTAAAATTCACCGCGTATGTAGATGTAAGCGGCGCAGGCTCCCATAGCGCGACCAGCGATTAGACAACCCTCTACAAGTTTGTGTGGATCATGGCGCAGGATCTCACGATCCTTGCACGTCCCTGGCTCGCCCTCGTCGCCATTGATCACTAGGTACTTTGGCCGACCATCAGATGGTTTGTTCATAAAGGACCATTTCATCCCAGAGGGAAAGCCGGCTCCACCACGGCCTCTCAAACCAGAAATTTTAATCTCATTGATGATCCAATCAGCGCCCTTGTCTATTATTTCCTTAGTTTTATACCAATCGCCACGACTCATGGCACCCTTCAACCGCCAGTCATGTCTGCCATACAGATTCGTAAAGATACGGTCCTCATCAGCCAGGGGACCTCCTCGTTTCTAAAAAAAAAAAAAAAAAAAAAAAAAGAAAGAAAGAAAGATACTAACAATACAGAACTTGGTGTTAATGACTGTGTTCAGCAGAAAAAGCTACAATCAAAATTGTGCGTTTATGCACAAAATATAATGTACATTTATATGTATATAATGTAAACTACGTAAACTGTTCTATGTATCATCTATGTAAACACTCTATGGATTATCTAAGTCTATTCTTTGGTATTACACTAAATTGTAAGACTCTGTGTTGTAAGACTAAATTGTAAATTAATAATTGTGTACACTCTAGTGTACACTAATTGTACACTAGAGTTTCTGTCTCACTTATATACTTTTATTTATCAAAAAATATTGAAGTCAGATATATTAATAATCATAAGACTTAATTATTCCTTTCTATATTGCGTCATCCAATTTATAATAATTTACATGTTTTACATTGTTTGTATTGTCTATATGAAAAAGATTTATAAACTTACGTAAAAATTTCACAGAAACATAATCTTGAAATATACAGCACAATTCTGATTATAACTATTATAAGATTCTTTAATATAATTCTTGCTTTTATTTCTTTACTAGATTTAAATGTATAGTCCAATTCTAATAAGACTTTTATAACAGTTATTAAGTTGCTTTCTTTTTACTCAACACAGCCCTTATAGTCTTGTTCATTTTAACTGTACTTGAAACAGATGACATGTCAAAGCTTTGAGATAAAGGAGAGGGAGGGGTATTAAGATATGAACAGATGTTGAGATTGTTTCTTAACATCTTAAGAAACACCCTCACCTTTCCTTCCGGGGCGGCATCGGCGAGTGTTCTCTGTTGCTGACTGTTCAAACTTGATCCGAGGAGACCTTTAAATATAGTGCAAATTATTTAATTACATAACCTCGTAGACTTATTGCAGCGAGGGGAAACTTTTCGAAGACATGTGGGATAATGTTCGCTTTGCCGTTTCGTCGCGGATGGTTCATTCGCGATTCAAGAAAGTTCGCGTAACCGCAATAATAAGGTGAATACTTAAAACTCACCCAATTGTCTCCTCGGAATCTGAAAACAACGCACTATGGCACCCGCCATTTTGCGGAACTCGGATCTCGGATCCCCTCAGTGGCGCGACTGAGAAATTCTCAGCCTCCTCAATCGATAAAGTCGCAGTATCGATTATCAAAGTCAAATCATCGACGAGATGTCGGTGACCAAATCTAACTCGTATCTCGTCGATATCTGCAATCAGAGAGAAACCTGAGAGAAGACATGATGACCCAAAATCTGTAACTGCAAAATGCTGCTGCATATTATCGTCCTCTAAAGAAGTGGATGTTAACTACATAACAATATGTCCTCTCTCAGGTTTCTCTCTGCCGTCAATATAATTTCGTTAAATTCATTTTCCAATGCCATAAATATTATACAAAAAACTTAATGTCGTTTTTATTTTATACACAAGAGAGCGTAATGATTATTATCATAATATAGTTAATAACAATAAAATAAAACTCAGTGGAGTAGCATTGCTATATTAATATTTTAATTTAAAATTTTATTATAAAACTTTACGTAATAAATATATTTCTATACTTGCGCAGTGTTTAAATGATTCAATTTATAATTGCTTATTATTTTATAAGTGCGACTTTTCTTTCATATAATTTTTTCGATAGCCTTTATTTATTTATTCTAATTGGTTTTTAATTTTTGGAAAAAATATAATTTCTAGTCCGTATTCAAAACACTTTTATGTTTGAAATTCTACAGTACACGTAACATGAATTACGTACTAAATACATGCTAACATCGTAAAAGCGCTTATCGAATAGGTATAAGCTTCTCTACCTTTATAAAACGTGCGGCTCCAAATTCCGAAAAAGACTGAGATTTTTTGCACGTAGCATTTATATACCATATTTGGAAGCTAGCGTGATTCAATAAGCATCGCGCTCATTGGCTGACATGCGAGTGGTGGGGTTCGCCGTTTGACGGCTCATATAAATAGCGCGTAATTCGCGACTTCACGCTTTCCGATTCGGGCAGGGGACAGGGGTACGTCCTGTCATTTTAACGTTGAAAAAATTCGCACTGTTCGCAGCCCTGTCTTCGAATCGATTGACTTTTCTCCAGATTCTAATCTCTGTTAAATATAAAACGACGTTGGAAAAGTTCGCAGCCTTGTCTTCGAATCAATTGTGACTTTTTCTCCACTCTTCTAATCTCTGCTGAATATAAAACGACAAGAAAGGACACGAAAGGGTCGTTCATCGTTGGATTTCTTTACTAAGGTAATCAATAATTAACTTTGCCTTTATTTGTCGTAACAGTGTAAATATCGCGTATTGCAGAGTCTAGTATAACATTGATTACTCGGTTGAAAGTATGTCGGCGTCGTGTCGTGTCGTGTCATCGCGTCTCGCGTGAAGTTAACCGCACACGGAAAACGACGCCGCTTCCCCATTTCGATCGCATTCACATTTCATTCGCGAAATGCGGCGAATAGAAGATGACACGGCGGAACGAACTGGCTCTCGGACAAAACGCGATCAAATATGGTAATTGAAACCTCTATAATACTTGAATATATAACTTGAACATATATTTTCGTATGCGATATTTAATTTCTACTGCGTAACTATAATAATCGCATATTAATAATCCGTTCGAACGCGTATTTCATAAAACTTGTTCGCCAAAAGTATATCGCTTAAATAATTGACAATGAGATTTTCGAATATCAATACGCAAATAATAATTATAAAACAAGAGAATATAATATACGCTTACCCTTTATGATTGTTATTTCCGCATTTCGAGCATCAGATATATTTGGAAATACGGAAAATTCATGAACGCGCCGAGAGCGAGAAGTGCCGCGTCGTTCGCGTCACCTTTGGCACGCGAAGTTAACCGTGCAAAAACAAAACTGTCTCACCTTAATCTTAATTACAACTACGATTCATTTACACATTTCGATTCTGTAAATGAGGCGCAAATATAATTAAGAGACAAGATTGGCATCAAACAAATGACAATTGAAATTATATTAAACCTATATTTATTGCAACATTTAGTTTGCGCATTCAATATTCACTAAGAAAAAGACGCGCATTACCGCCGTATCGCTCTTAGTGTGTGAAATTGATAACGCGAGAGACGAAATCACTTCGACATATTAATTGCATTAATGTTTTATTTGCAGAATGCGACGAATACGAGATAGTTGATTCCAAATGAGTGCTGTTGCGACTTATTGAATTGGTAAATAAAATTTATATTAATTTTATATCTAATTATTAAAATATCTGATAATTTTTTGTGTAATACAATTTTGGCATTAGTATGCGGATAATTCGTTCGAGCATGTATTTCACAATACTCGTGCATACGAATAACATGTTGCGTATAAAGTCAATTGTGCAGAAATCTTTCGCCATCTTAGACGCATGCCAATGTTTAAATTTTATTTGTAAAGTATCGCGAGTATCGAACATGACAAATTTCCTGCGTTCTTATTTTTTTGCTGTAGTGAACTACGCATCACGTCTAATTAATATCAACTATACGAACAAAATATGACAGGGTCGCATAATATTTAGGGTGCATCTGCTTTCACGCTCACATGATGTAAACATTAATTCATCCTTATTTATCAATTATCAAATAAGAATAAATGATATTTAAGCAAGCACTGTAAGCGCAAAACAGGGCGCATCCTTAGCAATTATTTGCAATTACACTTAATTTTAATATTTTAATAAACTATTTGTTTCAAAACTAGATAGATGCTGTCACAAACTAAACAATGAAAAGAGAAGAGAGGTGAAAAACAGACTTGACAATTTTGTGAAGAGAAGAAGAAGGAGGAAGAGGAGGAGGAGGAGGCTCAGGAAAAGCAATGGATCAACTTTGCGGTAAGCAAGCTTATTGCTTACTTACATAAAAAATTAGTCATTTCTTCCCATTAAGTTGTTTTATTTCAATAATTAAAAATAGTAATTAAAAAAAAAGAATTAATGGAAAAGAATTAAAACATTATGGAAATTTATTCATAAAGACAATTTTGAGAAAATGTATAATTATTTTAATGGATGTATAATTGAAAAATGATTGAAAAATTCAATAAAAATTAATTTTTTAATTATTGATTATTTTGAACGCTATTTTAACTTGTATCTTGTATTTGTATGTTACAGAATAATGTAACCACATAGCTGATAACTCCACTACTGTGCATCAATTAGTCTTTCTTCTTTTGTTGGTACACGCAGCCACCTCGGCCGCGATCAAGCCATTAGCTAGTTAGTGAAGGTGCAATAAAATATAATGGAGACTTTGCACGGTTCTGTATTGAGAGGGCATCAGTCGGTGAGTGACAAAAATTTTATCAGGTAACGAATCTGTGTAAATAAAATGTACAGATCTATTATTATATTAGAAATGAATACAAAGCTTTATAGATCCATTTAAAATTAACTACAATCGATTATGATACATATTTAATCTTGGATTTGTTTATCATTATTTGTCAATTTGATCAGCATTTTGATTTGCTATTATGCTTGAAGTTATTATGTTTATAACTGGAAAAAAATGTTTTATAAATAATATAAAATTACATATAATTATATTAAAAATTGACATATTTTCTATATAATTATATATAATTTTTTTTCAGATATTTACATATGAAAAAAGAGAATGAAATAGAATTCAATGATGAGTTAGCTATAAATTATATAATATTAATAAAACTATATAATATTAATAAATTAAATAAGAACATAAATCTGTTTAATTTTATTGAATTATTATTTGATTCCCATATATTAGAAATAATTAAATTTTTTAATTCAAAAGAATATCTAACAAAAATCCTTTCTTTATTAATAATATAAATCAGAAAAAATATTTATATACAAAACTGCATTTTAATAAAAATAAGTTTGATGAATATAAAAAAAAATTATTGAAATAATTGGTTTTTAAATTAAAATTGATGAAATAAATAATGAAGAAGTAAAGAAAAAATAAAGTTTTATATAAAAAAATATATATTTTAAAATGCAAAGTTTTTCATAGATTTTTTATTTTTAAATTATAGGATATTAATATAGGATCAATATATTCACATATTCAATATATGTAACATAAAAATAAAGAATATTTTGATACAACCTGTATTTAAACAAGTGTTATGTATTTATTTTCCTTAATCCTATTTCTAAATATTTATCCAAGATTAAATATGCTATAAATTGATGCAAATAAAAAATATGTACATTCAAAAAAATATTTTTTTCAATTCGTATAAATGGAAATATTGTTCTTCTTTACAAGAGAAAAATACAATAATGTTATTACAACAACTAATTAATTTTATCTTATATAAGTATATAAAATGCAATACTACATATGACTATAAATAATTAATTTTTGAACACACAGCATCAATTTTAACATAATAGATTGTAGCTTATTCATTTGGTTGATTGAACTAAATTTACAACAAATAAAGCAAAATAAGTGACACAAAATCCCATAAGTTACTCGTTGCGGAACACACAAGAATTTTTTAAATTATATTAACATTTTTTTCTATTAAAAATTTTCTATAAAAAAGATATTTTCATGTAATACACATTACTAAATATAAGTGACATAACAATGATATAAATGCAATTGATAAGAAGTTTATAAGTCACAATGCAAAGTTTTTTTACGCAGTATCCGGTTAAAAATTTGTCATGCATGAATATGTATAAATATATATAAATATGTATAAATATTCATAAACATATATAATATATATATCCATACAAATGTTTGTAAATCCTTTTTTTGTAAAATTAGTTTTTAGTGTAATAAGAATAATAATAATAATATAAAAACATTAAAAATAATTAAAAAGGTAATTTTCACACTATTTGTTTTAAAAAACATCAAGTTTGAAGAAATGTAAAAGAATTACTTATGTATAATTATATATAAAATTATGCATAATTATATATAAGCAATTTTTTTACATTTCTCCAAACTTGTTTTATTCTAAAACAAACAATGCAAAAATTATCCTTTTAATTATTTTTTATGTTTTTACATTACTATTATTATTTTTACACTAAAAAGTAATTTTACAAATGAAAGAAGAATGTATGGACATGTATGGACATATTTCATATATAATTATACATGTTTATGAATATTTATGCGTGTTTACGTATGTTTATACATATTTATATATATTCATGCAAAAATTTTTTACCGGGTAATTATATTTAAATGTACATATGTACATAGAGATAATAAATTAGAGACGTTTCGACCAAAACTGGATCATCTTTAGTATGTCAAAACGAAAAGAGAACAAGTGTATAATTTAAAGTAATAATGGAATAGCAATATGATAAAAATATTATTAGCGCTATTAGTACAAAGATTTCCACAGATAAAACATAAAATTATCTAGTCGCTGTAAATATAATTATTATGTATTAGATCTATAATGATTCAATTTTTTATTCGTTGTATCTTTACAATTATTTCCATTTCACATAAACATTGTGTGTGTGTAAGAATTCCAGGTGTATCGTAAAATTAATATAAATTGCAAAATTATGAATTATATCGTTAACAATTTTTAAAAAATAAAACATATTCAATGTTAAAAATAACTTCTACAACTAATTATATCGAGTTTGAAAATATCTTCCAAAAATCAAATAGAAAACGGAAACTTATTTTAATAATGTGTATAACGTGTCTGCGGGGAGAATGATCGGTGTCGCGATAATACAGAGATTTTTTTTATATAAATGTAAATAATTGTTATACTATTATGTTACATGTCATAAAAAAATACTTTGCAAAATCATAACAGTGTTTGCATATATAATGTGACAAAGATGAAAATATAAAAAAATAGGTATATTAATTGCTATAAAAATTTATTATACCATTAATTTTAAATCAATATGTTTTAATGTCATATTTAATATGCGTTCAAGAAATTGAGAAACGACAAACTAATCAAAATTAAATATAAAAAATTAAGTTATATATAGACTACAAGTAAAAGCTAGATGTCAATTGCTACAATGATATTTAATGTAGCCTATATGTAAATTAATTTTTAATTTTTGAATAAGAATATTTATTTAATTTTAAAATCACAAAAAGCAATTCTAATTCATCAAAGCGTCAATTCACGGATTTTTTCAAAAACTGTATTTTTCCCTTTTCCATCACTCGTTTCGCTTAAAACCTGTAGTTACACTGACAAAACCTGGTTGAAAATGGGCGAATCAGAATTTTCTGGTTTAATTCATTAAATATTAATTGAGATAACCGGAATTCTGTTCGATACAATACTTTTGGTAAAATATTTTAAAATTCATATTTTTAAAATAATATTAATTAGAATTCTAGTTATCTCAATTAAAATTCTAATAAATTTAACAACAAAATTCTGATTCGCTTAATTACCACCAGAATTATCATTTAATTCAACCAGACTATTTCTCTCAGTATAGATTTTCCTATGTCTTGTCTTGGTATTCTCAATTATTGCTTTCATAAATTTTCATTAACTTTTCGTGAGTCATTTCACATTTCTGTTAGCTTCCTCATGGCATGTGGAACAAACGGTGCATTATTTCAGAAACATTTCCGGGTTTTACTCGAAATTTATGTAAATTCGGGATATGATCTGGGTAGTAAGATCGTTGCAATACGTGCCCAGTTCCACATTTTGTATAATTATGGGATACGGTCCGGGTAACGTGATCGTTGCAATTCGTGTCCAATTCTCGCCACGTTTACCGGTCTGTTGAGCTTGACTCGTAAGACTAGCGTCTAGCAAGCCGATAAGCCGAATTAACCACGATTAACGCACGAGGGATGTGGGCAATATCGCCCCAGAAAGTGGATTGCCTCACGTCGCGTCTATCAGCCAAGCGTTTGCACACTTGTTGTGACACAAACTATTGTGGTTCGCAAAGTATCATGGTTATGAATGCCTCGTCGACGTTAGACGCGCGTTAAACGTGATACGAGAA